GGGGGACTAAATTGAGCATTTACTAAAAGTTAGGGGACTATTTTAGACTTTTACTCTTTTGAAAAATAAAGATGATGCACGAGAGTGTGTGAATTATAGAACAATTAAGTTAATGTGTCATACATTAATATAATGAGAGAGAGAAATTGAGCATCGTTTGTGTATCACTTAATGTAGACCTACCCAACATGAATCCAAATTGATTTTGAGAGGTTTGATGTAGATCCTTCTTATTTTCTTTATACTTCTCCATCAAACCTCTCAATAAATGTATAGCCTTTACAATAGACCTACCCAACATAAATCCAAACTAATTTTGATGATAATACTAAAGAGGGAGTTGAAGGAAATCTTAAATTATGGAGGTCAACCTTAATATATTAATAAAGGTGATGCATGAGAATTAGATGGATCTCCATCAAATCTCTCAATAAATGTATAACTTTTATAGTAGACCTACCCAGCATGAATCTAAAATGATTTTACTAATAAGACTAGAGAGGGAGTTGAAGTAAATATTGAATTATGGAGGTCAACCTTTTTAAAAATAAAGGTGATGTACAAGAGTGTGAATTATAGATGAATTAAATTAATGTGTCATACATTAATATTATGGGAGAGAGTAACTGAGCATAGGTTGTGTATCACTTAATGTAGACCTACCTAGCATGAATCCAAACTGATTTTGAGGGGTTTGATGTAGATCCTTCTTCTCTTTATACTTCTCCATCAAACCTCTCAAAAAATGTATAGCTTTTATAGTAAACCACCCAACATGAATCCAAACTGATTTTGTTGATAAAACTAGAGAGGGGGTTGAAGGAAACCTTGAATTATGGAGGTCAACCTTAAAGTCTAAAGGTTTTTATTTGAGTAGCTCTAAAACCGAATACATATAATGTAATTTTAGTAGTAATAGATCTAGTAGGGAGATTTTGATTTTGGACAATCAAGTTCTTAAAAAGAGTACACATTATAGATATCTAGGATCTATTATTCAAAGTGATTGTGAAATAGATGGGGATATTATTAGTAGAATTCAACTTGGATGGTTGAAGTGGAGGAAAGCATCGAGTCTGTTATGTGATATAAAAGTATCCTTCAAACTTAAAGAAAAAATTCTATTAGATGGTGATAAGACCTGCAACGCTTTATGACACATAATGTTAGCCATTAAAAGAGAAGCATAACATGCATTAAGCTAAGCGTTGAAAAGATGAGAATCCTCAAGTGGATGAGTTTCTTTATTCTTAGAGACAAAATGCAAAATGAGTATATACTTGAAAAAGTTGAAGCAGCTCCAATAACATATAAGATTAGAGATGGTTGCTTTAGATGGTTTGGTCACATAAAATGTCAACTTTCCATGATCTAATTAGGAGAGTAAATGCATTAGATCTGACCTATGTTAAGAAAGGTAGAGGTAGGCCTAAAAAGACTTAGTTAGAAAGTATTAGATATGACCTTTTTTTATTATATTTAAATGAAAATTTAAATCATAATAGTACACAAATGGAGAAAAAAATATTTATCTAGCCAACCTAATGTATGTGGATACAAGCTTGATGTCGTTGTGTAACACAATTATCAATTGTGCAAAGTCTATTTTTTAACTTCCATCAAAAGAAAAAAATATGTGTTTTGATTAATAGTAATGTAAACTCCAAATTTCACTATTTGGAATATTTTGTACATATCATCCTAGTTCTACATCTCAAAACCTTAGATTATAAGACGTCCTGCATCAACAGACACAAACACTTTAATTCTACCAATCAAGCTCCAAGAAGCACTTGACTTCCCTCAATTTCCAGTTCAGTCTGCCACATAAAAGCAACCATAATTACAACAAAATATCATTTAATGATGGAAATTGCTCTATCAAAATAAAAAATCTTGTACTAATGCATCCTCATTGACCATGCATATACTTTGAAGTCATTTCACTATTATCCTTATAGTAAAATAAATAAAGCTCAATTTTGAAGATGTAAAAAAAATCCGAGGCAATATAGCATTGGAGCATTAATAAGAGGTTTAGAAGGAGAATTTCTTAATGTAATCTCAAAAAGGCTTAATTAATTGATGAATCCACCAATTACATTTAACTTCAAGGACATATATTCCTAAACATATACCTCACTAAATTGGGGCAAAACTGACACCGAGACAATAGCTGCTAGTTTCTTTACAAGGTTACCCCACCAATAGGCTAAAGCAAGCTTAATTTCAAACAAAATACAACAATCTAGAAAAGAGCATGTCTGGCATTTGATAAAGAAATGAAGAGCAGGAGAGCATACTTATGCTGCAATAACTACAGTCATGATACTACCAGTTTCTTCTATGGATCTTAGCAATAGCTAAAAGGATGTTTACCAATAGTTAATTCGCCTAAAACCTCAATACAGCCAACCCACCAAAGCTAATATCATGTCTTATTTAAGATAGTTCCACATGCACCAACCATTGCTCACTAGCACCGACAGGTTCAACAATCGTGTCAGCAAGTTCAAGCTCTTCACCACCGGCGGAGCCAAGAGTTTTTATCGGCGGGGGCACAAAATTTTGACTTTAAAAATACCCTCAAGCTTTTTTATTTTAGCTTGAAATTGAAGTTATGATTGTAAATTTTTTTATTATTTTTTAATTATAAGAAGATAAATTCTATGATAATGAAAAAAAAATTTATTGTCATGCTCATCTAGATTAATTTCAACACAAATTTATTTAAACAATATATTATCATACTAATCTATTTCAACTACTCTTCTACCGTATATTTTCATATCTAACTTGAATAAAAATATAAAAAAAAAATATTTTACAACGAGCAATAAATATATAAAAAAATTGCATCTTTTTATTATAAAAGTATATTAAAAGTATATAAAAATTTATAATAAGCATATTTTAAACTATTTGATTTAAAATTAAATATTATAATTCTTCTCTAATGTAATTTGTTGACTTTAATTACATAAATCTCTTATAAAATAAAATTTGGAGTTTTTAAAATATAAAAAAGGTGAAATTTGTAATTTTAAAAAAATAGTAATGTGAAGATGAAGAGAGAAAAGTAGTCTCGCCCCTCATGAGAGAGAGAGAGAGAGAGAGAGAAGGAGAGAGAGAGAAGAGAGAGAGGAAAGAGGGAGAGCTAGGCCTAGTGAGGAGGTTGCCGGCTCTAAAAAATTAAAAACAAAAAGGCAAAGAAAACATAATAGAGAGAGAGAGAGAGTAGAGAGAAGATAGGTAGAGGAGAGATGGGAAAAGAGAATGACAACCAAGAAGCTCCGCATACAAGACTTTTTTTTTAGGGGGGGCCACCACCTAGGCCCCCCTTAAATCCGCCCATGCTCTTCACTACGATAATTGACAACATGTGCAAGTATCGGAGAATGAGCATCAACTTTGTCATTCAAACAAGGAAGCCTTGATATTATTTTGGTTGTTTGAGGCATTGTTGCAAGCAACATCATGACTCATTTAAGATAGCTGAACATGCACCTCTCTAAACCTATGCTAGTTAAACCCCAAATCAGCAACAATCATTTAGCCATCTTCAAGCACTTCGCTGTGGTGATCAATTTCATTGGCAGATTTGCAAGCATCCTAGTAAAGGTATTTTGGCTTGATTTTGGTCTTTGCTTATAAAACCCTTTATATTATTTTGTTTGTTGGCATTTCCACACAAAACTTTCTTGCCAAAATTATGCAGTCTTCTGTTTTGACTAAACCACCACACACTTCTTTAAGAAATTACCAAAGTAGGTTTTAAAACACTTGATAATTTGGATTTAGACCTGCAATAGATAGTTATAAAATATGTTATTGTAGATATACAAAATGATTGACCCACTTGTAAACTTAGGCTTTCTAGTTGAAAATGAATTTGACCCTTAACATATCTAACCCAACTTTGGTCCCTCTTTATTTATCCTCTCTAACAACAGTATATGCCACACTCATCACATTACCAAATCAAGACAAACTTATCCTGATGTTGAAGTATCAAAGCTATTAAAAAATGAATTTAGACTTACTACAAATGCAGGTTGAAATAAACACATAAAACAACTCTCTTTTTGCATAAAAATCTGTTGCAAGAAGTATGAGGCATCTAGACTATGCATTACAACAGTTGCCAAAAATGGTAAAAGTAAAAGAAAGAGACAACTTTGGATCAATGAATAAAAACTAGTAGATACCATGCACCGGATTTATAATACATCAATGAAGCATACATTTAAGTTAAGTGTTGCAAAGAAGAGAATGCTCAATTAGAATGCAAAACGAGTATATACATGAAAAGGTTGAAGTAGCTCCAATGGTAGATAAGATTAAAGAGAGTCGCCTTAGATGGTTTAGTTACATAAAATGTCGGCCTTCTAATGACCCAATTAGGATAGAAGATGTATTAGGTTTGGCTTATATTAAGAGAGATAGAGGTAGACTTAAAAAATACTTGATTAGAAAATATTAGAAAAGACTTTTTTATTAAGTTTAAATGAGAATTTGACTCTTAATAGGACACATAAAAAAAAAAAAAAAAGATTTATGTAATTGATCCCACATAGTGGGATAAAAGCTTGATGTTATTGTTGTTAATGTTGTAATGAATCAGACCTGTTCCAACCTCTAGGGATAAAAGACATGTGAAAATATGAATGCTGTTGTAGCTAATAATGGAAACCCATCCCTAAGGGAGATAAAAACAAACAACAAGTTGATAAAGAATAATGGGAAAGCAGTTCTATAGGAAAGAACTTGACTACATTCAGTTGATAATTGATTCCATTAGGCTGATCAGAAGGGAGAGAAGAAGCAGGCAAGGCTGACTTAGTTACATGTATCATATTGGCTCCAACTACTAGAATAGATTCAATCCGTTGACAAGCAAATTTATCACTCTTTTTCAGGAACAGGTGACAAGTGCTTGTATACAATGAAAACGTATGCAATTCAGTTTTATAAAATTTATTTAATTTTTAAAATATAAATTAGAATTAAAACTAGAAAATTTGTGTCAGCAGGGAAAGTGTAATCAACATGACAAATTCAAGTAAGCTAAGTTGGCTTCATGAATTAAAAAGCATCCCACATCTAAACAAGAAAATTAAAAGAAAATAATATTAGCAAAAACAAGACAAATACTCTAGAAGCACAAAAAAGACCTTAAAACATGGTTTGTTAAAATAGAAATAGCAATGACCAGGTGCCGTTCCACATCACTTCATCTACTCCTCTGCTTCAGAGCCTGAGCTACCGCTGTTCTTGCTGTGCTTCCTGGCGTACCTCTGGTTCCTCAAGAACTTGGGGTCCATCTGGAGAAATGTAATTGAAATCACTCACATCGAAATCACATAAAAACCACAGAATTACCGCCAAGCTTTCCAAACGCGTTCATAATTGGGAAAGACACGCCATTTCTACAAAATCATGAACCGTAACCACAGAAAAATGGATAAAAGAAGAGGAGAAAAGGTAATTTCTCCATACCCCTCTAGTGGAGGTGTGCCTATGCCTCTTTAGGCTTCTTTATACCGTTCTTGTGGGCCTTGTGTGACTGGTTGTGAGCCGTGTGATTCTTCGATTTCGCCATTCTACGCCAAACGAAACTCGAGTTACCATGCGATCCAGAAAAGTAACTAATTTAATTCTGTAAGGGATAGAGAAACTGCAAGAGAGCGAGCAGAAAGAAGCTCGTACCCGACGCAGCAATGGAGGAACGCGGCTGCTCGGCCTTCAAATCCGTCAAACTGGAGGGATCGGGAATTTGGCGACCGCGGATCTATTTGGCGAACGGAACCCTAATCAGGACTTTGGACTCTAAACCACATTGCTGACCTATAGTTGTCTATGGCACACCGCTTCAATTTGGAAAATGGGCTGCTTTGACGCAGTGATATGGGCCGCAAAAACGCAGTCCGGCCCAATTATTACGAATTAAGCAAAGTTTGATTGCATTGACATACACTTGAAAAATAATTACAATTTACAAAACAAGAGGACTAATTGCACAATATTTATAATATATTTAATAATTTTGATTAATAAAGTATAAGAATAAAATTTAATTTTCAAGGGGACTTGTATGAACTAATTTTTCTTATTGGTGCCGCTACACTAAATTATTGCATAGAAACAATTTAAAAGCCATGTAGTCAAAATCTATTCAGACATCGGGCTTCACAAAAGATTCATCTAAAGTCATTTAGACTACTTACCAATCCCGTTGAAGTTGCTAGCTCAAGTTGTTAAGGCTATTTTGCCCAACTCACCAAGGCTACTTGGCAAAAATCGACAAATCTTAGTGAAGTTAGCTGGTGTTTACGTGGATTTAGTTTCAAAAGCAATAAGTATCGCTCTATGTTTGAATATTAAAGATAGTAAAGAGAGTTTAATATATTAGCTTTGTATAATGGTTTAGTGCGCATATAGATAAAAGAATGTTTTGAGAGGCATCAAAGCTTTTATATGAAAGCCCTAAAAAGTGAAAATTAAGCCCATGATGCTTGACCCACTTGAAATGATCCACTTTGTAAATGAGATTATGAAAATTCGCTCGTCCCCTTAATTATAGTAGACAAGATTCTAAAATTAGAAACACTGATTTGCTCTCATGTGGCTGTATTGAATACTTTTGGAGAAGTAATGGAAAATAATAATAGTCAGGCGATGATGATTAGGTGATCATGATCATGTGATGTAATTCAAAAGTCGGACGATAATAGTAGAGCCAGGGTGATCTGGCAATGATGATCGAGCAATACTAGTTGGCTATAGTGGTTAGACAATGATGACCGAGTGATAGAGATTATTGTCGATAGCCATTGCAATTGATTGTTAGATGTACCTGTATTTTTTTTCAAAGCTCTATGCTCACTCTCCAAATTTAGTCTCACTTCATCTAGAGAATGAGTGTTTATTTCAAATTTTTTATATTGGAATTTAAAATATTTTGGATAAAATTTTTAAATACTTCATCAAATGACCCAAATGACCTTTCTTGATTTTCTTATAAGCAATTTATTTAGGTTTTAAATATCATAATAATATCAAATTTAAACAATCTTATGTACAATGCATTCATGTCATTGAGACATATATTTTTACTATAAGAATGCAAATTTTAAAGATGATTTGATTCCTTAAATAATATCACAAAGTTTTAATATATATTTCAAGTGCTTAAATTTGGCTCATTTACACTTTGATCAGAAAATGTTTGGTGTTTCTGAGCTTGTCTAATTAAATTGTTTAGTTTAACTGTAAGTTTAAAGTTAAAGTTCAAATGATCCGATATTCAACCAAAAACTCACTTAGTCAGGCGCAAATCATGAACCATATATGAATTGAAAACTTTCAAAAATTAATTCACGAACAATTTGAACTCTAATTTCAACAAACTCATTGTCAAACTAAACGTCTTAGTGAAACAAACCAAACCGCACAAAAAGCGATTCAATCTGAGCACAAATCAAGGGTTTAAAACATATTTGAAAGCTCCAAAACATTAATCGGATGATCAAGTAATATTCAAATATAGCATGCTTATGGTCAAATAGAGCGACTTGATGAGACGAATCAAATGATCCTAAGATTGCTTTATTATGACATCATTAAATCAATTAAATTCTTGAAAAAAATGCTCCATATATGATCGAGAGAATCAATATGGGCTGTCTGATGGAGCACTCCAAATTTGATCTAGATATTCTTCATATGAATCATGTCACTCTCAAAATTTATAAATAGACCTTCACTTTCTATATGAGAGAGAAGCAGGCTTGGACCATGGACTAGAGACTCAAGAGAACTCTAATACTTGAAGAATCCCTAAGATCTACAGAATAGTGTCAAACCACTTGTAAGTTTTTTTGTTAATTTTTTATTTTTAATAAGAAGCATGTTAAAAGAGAAATATAAGTTTTGAGTTTTCTCCTTGCCCATTGTAGTATTTATAGTTTAATTTGTTGAGGATGAGATACAAAATTTTCTAATAATTTTTAAGACCTTAAAGTTTCTTTTTTTGAAATTTTTTTAGAATTTTTAGGGGTTTGCTGCATTTTTTTTTATTTTATTAAAAGTATTTTAATTTATAAAAAAAATGAAAAACATCTTTAAAAAGTGGAATTGTAAGGTACATCCAAACAAACATATTCAAGCAATTTAAAAATTAAAAAAAAAAAAGAATTTCCAGCAATAGTGGGATCTCTAGGATATTATGTAATATTCTTGACTCAGTTTTGATATAATTGGTGGCAAATAAAGCCTCTATAATCAATTTTAAACACTTTTAAGGAATTTAAACTCAAAGTTCTTAGCATTTTTTGGTCTAATTGATGTGCTAAATTTAGGAAAGGCTAAAATTATGTTTGAGAAGATGTTACTTGGCTCATAATCACAATGTAATTTTTAAATTAATGTCTAGGGATTGATTACACATCATAATTTTTTTAATATTATAATTTTACATTATGCTTGTTAAGATTAAATATATTTTTGGATGATGTAGATTTTGACGGCCAACATTTTGGGATAAATGGCGAATCACATAAAAAAATCCATCTTTTTAAGCATGAATCATAAAACGACATTTGAATTTGAAACTTTTAGAATTAAAATCAGGACTACCTGAACTTTCATTTCAATAAACTTATAACCGAACTAAAAGTTTTGATAAGATAAGCACAATGAAACTCAATTATTTCGATATGAGTTCAAATAATCCCAAATCAAATACTTGAAATATAGTTAGAAACCTTGCAAGATTGTCGAAAGGCCAAATGATCTCTAAACCTTACTTTCTTACATTCAAAATGGTTATCTCTACAAGAATAACCTAAGGGGTCCAAATTTACTCAATTTCAAGCTCATTAAGGCACTTAAATGCCAAAAGAATAATCAATGATTCAGAGTAGAGGTCAAGCTGTCTGATCAAGTGTTTTAGAATTATAACTAAATTTACTAAAAATTATAAATAGACATCCATTATCCATATGAAAAGGAGCTAAATTTGGACAGAATTTATACATCTGATGAATTTTAAAGTCCTATTCAATGATTGTGCACTAGCAACCATTGTTATCTGACCACCATCACTCTACCACTATCACTTGACAACCATTAACAGAACATCAACGATCATCATTACCTTACCACTATCACTTTTCATGCTTAAGCATTATTTCCTAACTGACATCAACTAACCAACATCATATAATCAGTGTCATGTGAATGTCATCACCATCCATTACTTTTCTGACAATCTCTATTACAACAAAAGGAGATCAAGTTAGTATTCCCAACTTTGTATTGTTGACTTTTTCAATTGATGGGAAAGAGCAAATTTATGTAATCTTAATTATTTATATAGTGTATCAATTCACTAGGCCAAATTACATATTTATTTTCTTTTACTCATATTCTAAACGAAAAATTTGGTCTCTTATAATATTCTTTTATTATGTATGTTAGATATTCCTATAAAATAAAAAATATTAAACTACTTATATTATTGGGAATATCAAACACAAGTGTCACCATTGGTGGTTGGTCATCATCATCTGACTATTATCGCCCGATTGCCACTACTCAATCATTGTTATCACATCAACATTGCTCAATTGGATCATCAATCAATTACTATCACCCGGTCGCCTTCATTCAACCAATGAAACGTGGTTCGATCGCCATCTCTTATTTTTTTTCATCATTATCACTTTAATATATTTTCTAGAACTCTTTACTAGAGGAATAAGAGATAAAATCAAATTTCTACATCTTCTCCAAGTTAGGGTATTGAACTTTTTTAATAATTATTTTCTATTGGATCATTTTAAGTTGGCTAGATTTCTTGGGTTTTTTTTTTTTTTTTTTTTGTCTTCCAAAAATATTCATGTAAAACTCTCATCTCTCTTATGAAAATATCAAATATTTTTGTGTGTAGAATCTTCTTTCAAAATTAAAACATAAAACTCATACTCTATCAATATATTAATATTTTAAGTTTTTAACACAATAAATATTTAACCTTTATGTATTATTTAGCTATAGGCTATCTAATTCATTTTTTGTTAATCCAATGTACGTAGTCATGTTCTGCACAGTAATTAATTGAAATTAGTCCATAAATATGTGATATTGACACATTGAATTATTTGCTCAAATCTTGTTATTTTAAGTAATCTATTAATATCTTATAGCTTCTCACTAAGTATTATCTTTATCTATCCTATTTACTTTTTTTTCTTAATCATTCTTGATTATCAAATTTGCGGTGGATTTTTTGTGGACTTTGCGACAGATAAATTTTTATTAACGAAAATTTCAGACATTTCTTTTGTGAGGGATTTGAGGCGGATAATCTATTGTAAATTTACGGCTGATAATCCGCCGCAAAATTGCGATGAATTTTTCGTCACAAATCCGCTGCAAATCCATTATAAGCACTTCTATCTAAACTAGCACCCTCACTGTTTCTTTCATTCACTCTCGTTCTGTTCTGTCGCCATGCATGCGGCATTCCTTCGACAACCCTTGTGCAATCGTCTCCTTCGATGATGTTCCTTCAATTTGCTCACTTGCCTCCAAATTTTC